GGTTAGCCTGGTGATGGGTATTAAAGAGGGCACGTTCTGCGTGGAGCGCTGGGTGTTATGCACAAACAATGAATCATGGAACACTACATCAAAAACTAATGATGTAATGTGTGGTGATTAACATAACATAATAAAAAAAAAAAATCTCCCACTTTTCCTGGTGTTGCTGCTGTCTGGCTGCCTGCCTATCTGCCCCCCTTCGGACTGTGGTCTTCTGAAGGCAGAGACCTTGTCTTGCCCATGCCAGCACCAGCCCCCAAGGGGCCCTTGGTGGGGTATTCACCAAATGAAATGTATGTAAACATAAAGCATATTAGTTCTCCCCACTATCGCATTAGGCTGACAGATCAGAAATCATTCCCACTTTTGCAGAGAAGCCCCATGTCTGGATCTAGGTCTTGGACTCTCGGGGCGTGTGGGGGCCCGTGATCCAACCAAGCCCTCTTCATGGGGGGCCTCCAGGGGGAAGAAAACTTCAGGGATCTACACATCTACACCAACCAGAGCTCCCTGTTTTGGATAAAGGTTCAGGAAAGCCAGTCCAGAGGTTATAAAACATGGAGGGGGAGGAGTTCTCAGAAGTCTTGAGCAGCTACAGGAAGGTGAGGCTGGACATGGGTGGATCCGCAGACACCCTCAGGGCACTTAGCTTTCTGTAGTATAGTTTATACAACCGGTAAGCTTCTGGAAGGCTTGAGAAAAGACGTTCTCAGTTGATAGCAATCGCAGCCCCTGGCTCCAGTCTTCTGTGCTCCAGGAAGTGTACCGGGCACACACAGGGAGCACCCCGGCCTTGCCAAGAGGCAGGCTCGCTGCCTGGATCTTGGAGGCATGCCTGGGGGTCCCGAGGCCCCTGATTGCCGTCCCAGCCCCTGGCTGCTTTCCTCTGTCTCCCAGCAGCAGCCGCTGGGGTCCCTAGGGGCCCACACTCATGGTTCTGGATTTACTCCCCCCCCCCCATTCTCCCCAAACCTTTCTCTGGCTGCACCTGCCATCTGCTTACACCGCTGTCCCTTCGTGCCCTGGCACCCACTGTCTTGCTGCCCACTCTCCCTCATTCCTGGTGGACTTTGCAAATTCGTTAAGTGTGTTTCTACCCAATTTGTGCCTTTAGTGTCCCTGGGGAGCTCATGTATAGAACCTGCCCTTCTGGGCCCTGGACATCTACACTCCCTCCACTTCCTCCCTCCACCTTCTGGCTTGCCATCACCTGGAACCGTTCCATCCTGAAGGCCACTCAGACACCTTGTGCCTCATTTCTCCTTAAGATCCTCTCGGCCCCGGCCTTGGGGGCACCACACAGCCCCGTGGACCTGTGGCCTCTCTGTTCACTCCTTCTAGTCTCCTTATCCCGGTCCCTCTTCCTGAGACTGTCCCTACTTCACCTCCTGCAGTTTCTCATCCGGACCCACAGCCTCCATGGTCTATAACCTGGCAAGGTCCAAGTCTCTGTGTCCAAGGGGCGGGGGTCTTAGGACCCCAATCCCGCTTTCTTGCAATGAGCTCTGCGCTAACAGAGAGATTGATTCAGGAGCCTGTTGCTACTTGTACTTTGGGTCCAGCTGAATTGGAGAATGCTGCTAAGAATTGTGGCAAAAGATCCAGTTTGCTCTTGCTTATCTCATTGAGCTGAACTGACTTTTCTATCCCCGGATGTGGCCTCCTGTCTGCAGCAGGCAGGCCAGCCTGGAGTGAGCCCCTTGGAGGCCCAGAGATGGGAGCCAATATGGTGGTGGTTTCCTGAGCTCCTTGTTGCTGTGTTCACATGGTGGTAGAGGAGGTGGTGGTAATGGAGGGGGGCAGTTTCTTTTGTCTCTTCTTATGAGGGCACTAATCTCATCCCGGGTCCTACCCTGCTCTAAACCGGATCACCTCCCAAGGCTCCCGTCCAAGTAGCATCGACATACGAATTTGGGTTAGGGCTTCAACATATGAATCTAGGGGACACGATTCGGTCCATAGCAGTGGGTTGGGGTTGAATACAGCTGGTCTCTGAATCGATCCGTGTGCTCGCAGAATGTTAGGTGTAGCCAGCATTTCTGAGAAGCAGGTTACCTGGGATCCACCTATCCTGTGAGGACCCAGTGTTTCAGCTGAAGATGACCAAGAAGGCTTCACCTTGTTCTACGGGGCTCCAGGGAGTGGGCAGGTCCCACTAGAGGGGACGGAGCAAAAGGGGCACATGAATACATCAGCATCATCCTACAGATGGGTATTGTGAAGTGAGGGTGTCAGGACCTGAGCCCCACAGGTGCCTCTACTTGGTAGGTGTTGAGTCAGTGAACGAAGGAGAAGCAGAAACAGAGGTGGGTCCTGCCCCAGCAGGTGCAGAGGGACCCTTGAATCAGCCGGGGGCTTTTCCTCACCAGGGCCCTAGGGCACAGGTGTCCTAGACCTCACAAGACTTCTTCACTTAGGAGGGGATGGGACCCTGTAGAGACCGTTTCCTTTTGTGACATGACCTGTGGTGAATCCTGGTGTCAATAAACCAACTGCCTGAGGCACGCCTGGGGACAGCTGGGGAGGTCCTGAGACACCCTCCCCCTTGCTGGGTGATACTGTAGTCTCCCAGGACAGGCACGCTTTGTGGCACTCACTCACAGACACGGGCAAAGTGACCTTTGAGGCAGACCTCTAAATACTGCAGGAACAATAATGATGATAGAGGAAGGAAAGGAAAAAAAAAAAAAAAAGAAGTAGCACAAGTGGAAAACATGCATGATGGTTGAATCTGGAGAACGAGCCCGTGAGGTTCGTACACTCTCAATCCGTGCATATATTTAAAAACCCTCGTGTTTTAGAACACGAAGCAATTAGAACATTTCTTCCCAGGAACTTCTTTTTGATTCCATGAGCTCTTTGCCGAGCAGTCAGGTGTGTGTTTGGAGCAGCCTGAGGGGTGCGCCGGGGAGAACCTTCCTAGGGTTTCCACAACCAAATCCTGGAGGACCTGCATTTGTGGGAGGCGTGGAGGGTGCACAGCAAGGGGGGGGCTCTGGTTCTTGGCTCCTGTACCTGCGCGGGTGCCAGATGGTCCTAAAGAAATATCTTTAGGTCCTCGGGTCTCTCTGTGGAGGGCCCTGGCTAATTCCTTTTCCTTCCCGGGGCTCCTTACTGCCCGGGGCCGGTGGACAAACCCCCACCTGGCTGAGGGAGCATTCCTGATGGGTTCTGCCTGCATGTGTCGCCACCCGGTGGCAGCTTTTCCACATCGCAGCTGTAATGGGAGCCCTCCCAGGAGGGAACTTGGGGGAAAATGGGTCTCTAATGGAGGGGGATGGGGGCGTGTGTTAACAATATCTGAGAGCAGGGCGCTGATAGGGTGAGGATCACGAAGTGATGCGGGGAGAAAGGAAAAGAAACGCTAAAAGTTGAAGAAACCACTTGGAAAGCAATCAGAAGTAACCCAAAAGTCCCCAGCAATGGGGCTACGTAGGAGCTGGGGAAGAGGTGCAAGAAAGAAGGGAAGGGGGCCCTCTGCTCTGAGGACTGCCTTCCAGAGGGTCACCGCAGACCCACGTCCCGGATGAACCTGGGAGACTCCTCTTGGGAGGCGGCAGAGTGACAGGGAGCCCTGGATCTGCAGAAGGAAGGCTTGCCTTGAACCTCACCTCTGCCCTCAGCTGGCTTTAATTCTGCACCCATTTGCACCCATGGAGACCAGGCCGGCCCCACAGGGCTGCTTTGAGAATTCAAGATCATGTCTAGGGAGGCGTTGTGCAAAGGGTCACCCGCCACACCGATCGGAAAGTATTACGATTTACACCAATTTTACATTACAGAACTCCAATCCTGGATTTCTGGATCTATTCACAAGAGATTTGTGCCAACTTTGGATCAAACTTGGATCCATCCATGGATGTACCCATTTATCGGGAAAAGATGAACCCTAACTCAGCCCACATGGGGCCCTGGCCAAGGCTGTTTCACTCAGCAAATGCTTAGAGCAGCTGGGGCAGATTTCCTCAGGAGGGCCTCCTGAGTTGCTGTCATTCTTTTTTTTTTTTTTTTTAAGATTTTTTTTTTTTTTGTGAAGAGGGAATATGAGGTGGGGGGGGGGGGGAGTGGGGAGGCAGAGGCAGAGGGAGAAGCAGACTCCCCGCCGAGCAGAGAGCCAGACTCGGGGCTCGATCCCAGGACCCCAGGATCATAACCTGAGCCAAAGGCAGACGCTTAACCGACTGAGCCACCCAGGCGCCCCGAGTTGGTTTTATTCTTGATCTCTTACCCCCTCTGACAGCCGGTACCGTCATGTCCCATCTGGCAGAGCGGGCAGCCGAGATTCAAGAGACGTTAGGGGGCTCATCATAGTCACACAATAGCGAGAGGCACTGTGGCATTTGAGAGGCTCCCACTCTGCACCTCTGGGCACTTGGGTCGGGGCGGACACTAACTGAGGAGCCCCCCAGCAGGTGAGCCTTTGGGGCTTCTTTAGGACTGAGAAAAACCCGACTGGAAGCTGTGAGAGGCGGCAGGAAGGCAAGGTCCTCACAGAAGGATGACAACCACCCCCGAACGATAAAATAGCTTTGTTTTAATTCACTTTGATTTGGATCACTGGAAATACTCCACAATAAATAAAACAGAGCCGAGGCCGGGGAAGGCAGACTCCTGCTAACTTCATTCAAAATGCATCCAGATTAGCGCTCTGCTACCACACAAACACGGGAGCGAGGTAAGAGGGAAAAGAAAGCAAATTTTAAAACACCAACAACGAACCAAACATGATTGCAAAGAACAAAAAGTGCTCGAGAAACTTTGGCTTTGACGTGCATCCGGTGAGGTGCAGGCACCTGTGGGCAGCCGCGTCCGTCCGCTGGGATGGCCCCTCCCGTCATGGGCCCCGGGGTCAGCCTGGCGACCGGCTCAGAGCCAACCGCAGCTGGGCACACACGGCAGTACCGTCCTTTGCGAGAAGCCGGGCAGTGAGGTCAAGTTCAACACGTTCAACGCGAGGGCCGAGAGGAAAGGGGACTCTCTCTCTCTCTCTCTCTCTCTCGACCCGTCAGCCAGGACCTCAGGGGAAGATAACCAGCCAGTGGCCTGTGGGCACATTTGCTTCCAACCAGATGTCCATCATGGACACAATGATGACCCCGAGCTCTCCGGAGGGGCGAAGCAGCAGCTGGTCCCTGATGGCACGTGGTCCGTGGCCAGCCACCTTTGGACTTGCACTCCCCTGGAGAAAGTGTTTTTGGTCATACCCACGCGAGGGACAGTGAGCTCTTTTCTGTTTTCCATTTTTTCTTTGTGCTCAGGCTGCCTTGAAGAGAATTGTTAAAGCAAACATTACGGTTCTCGATATTCTCTGCGATTCCACTCCACCCTGGACCCAGAGGCCCAGTCCTTCTGGCCTCCAGAACTTGCAAGAATCGCCCTCCCCACCTTCTTGTCTGACTTTCCCGTTTTCAGTCCTATTTTCTTGAATCTGGCTTCTCCCACTAAGCACATGCCCTTAAAAGCATCACTTTAAGAACTTCCTTTCCTGCCAGATGGTTCTGGAAGCCAGAAGCTACAAACCCGCCCCACTCTCTGCCCTGTCAGGTGCTTGAGGGCATGTGGAACCAGGTGCTGATTTGCAGAGGTGACTCCAGCTCGAGAAAAATCGGTCTCCTGGCTCCACAGGGGTTGGGGAGGGTCCTGAGATCTCTCTCCCTCCTCGGCCCCGGTCTTTCTGGCTTCGGGCTCAGCACTGGCTGCAGGCAGGGACGCCTCTGCTCTCTGCCTGGGGCCCAGGACTGGTCTCCAAGGAGCAGGCAGAGCCCTGGACTGGGAGCCCAACAATGGGGTGGACGCTCGAGAGCCTCCTCTGGGGGTGGGTGGGGGGTCTCGTTATCCTGCCCAAAGCACACCAAATGTCCTGTGGGAAATACTCTTGTCTGATTCTCAGCCATCCTCGCCCAAGGTATGGACGCCAACTGGCTTAAGTCCATTGTGCATTCAGTCACCCCCACGGGGATTGGCGCTCTTTGGTTAAGACCCCTTGGCTAAGCCAGTGAACACAAAGAGATGTCTGCTGGGGTGGTGGGAAGAGCCAGGTTGTCTCCCCCATGGGAGGGATGGCAGGAAAAGGCAGACACCAGAGCTTCCCAGGGCCACCACCAACCGCCGGGGGAGGAGCCCAGTGGTGAGACGCAGAGCTGCCAGAAACCTCTACCAGGTCACAGTTCTCGAAGATGCTGGATGGAACCCAGCTGGGAAGGGCCACACAAGATGCCTTTAACATAGAGCCAGTGGTGTTCTCTTTTTGCTCAAAATGTTTGACTTGCCCTCTCTGTCACAACTGGCTCACTTTTGCAAGTCACATTCCTTCTCTGGGCCTTGCTTTTCTCCTCTGTGAAATGGGAAGGCCTCTCAACAGCTTGAAGGGCCTAGTGGGAGGGAGGGAAGGAGGGACCAGGCAGCCGGCACACAGCGCAGACCGCTCCTCGGTCTGCTCGCTCTGGGGACCTGTTCTGACTGCACCAAGCCCAGACGCAGATGGCGCGCTCTGAACGTGTCATCTCTGAATGGACTCAGTGACCAGGACTCGAGGAGGAGCTCAGGTTTCCACTCTGCTCCCTGTCTCAGTGGGCACTCTTCTCAAGGGATGAATCAGCCAACCAACAGATGCCTGCTCTTTGGGGATTTATGATCAGAACGATGACCTCATAGGGATGTATGAGCCTTTATCGGTCAAGGGAGCCTTACGTTTTGGAGGTTTTTAAAGCTGGAACAGGTTTTTGTTTGTTGGCTTGTTGTTACTTTGTTTTTTGTAAACCGCTGTCTGGATTCTACATCTCTGAGAATCCAGTAAAAGTTACGGAACCTCTCCCCAGGAAAATGCTCCTATGCATAGGCTTGGGGAAAAAACACAAGCGTGGCATATTATTTCTGGGGACACCTGTGAACCGCCTGAAACCACCTGGGGCCCCTGAGCTCCCCAAATGCCTCCCTCCCTGTTTGTAGAGGGAGAGGCTGGAGCCGAGAGAACAGAGCTTGCCACAGTGCAGCAAGGAGCTCGGAGGACACGACCCGTGGCTCCCAACACTGGCCTGCTTCCCACTCCACCAGGACACTGTCACACGTCCTCAAAGTAGCAGTGGCCCGTTAGGAAATGCTCTGGACAGGAAAAGTGGTTTCTCTGGTTCAATGTCAGTAACTGGAGCCAACCATCACTGTCCTCCTACGTGTGTGACCCCACTCCCCACCTGGCCCCAAGGCAGTCCCGCTGTGTTCTGGAGATTCGTAGCCTGAGACTGAACCCAGTCCACAATGATGGGAGAAAGAAGGTGGAGCTGAAGGGAAGGAGGTACAGAGCACTCCACGAACCCACCAACCTGAAACCCCGGGATCCGCCCAGCGGCGAGCCCCCAAGCCCTAGATGCCCCCCACCCCAAGTCTGAGCTTGATTTAAGCTCCCCACACCCCAGCCGCCAGGTGAAGAAAGAGCAAGCTTAATTAAAAATCAGGACCGGCCACAGAGCCACAAAGTGCACGCAATGTCAGTTGAATTACCAACAAAACAAAACAAAACAGAACAATCAATCAATAAATAATCAGGTAGGCTGATGAGGACGAACCAGAGCAGCCAGGGAGTGAGAGGGTGAGGTGTGTCTTCTCCCGCTCTGAAGGTCACGTTCCTGGGACGGCCCTGCAGCCCCCAGGACGCTGTGCCGGTGGCCAGTAGGGACTTGGCCCAGAGCGTGGGCTCCTGGAGGAAGTGCTGGCTGGTGGAGGTTCTGGGTATGGCCCTGGAAGGCCGTGGGCACCGAATCCAACAGTCTGCGAACATGAGAGTGACGTTCCCCGGCCGACGCGCCTCTGGACGGCGTTGAGTGTCATCCCAGCTTTGTCCCAGCTCAGGCACTGCCTCAGGAAACTGGAAAAGATGTCCCCAGCTCTAGAGCAAGGGGCATGATGCCAGGGGTCCCCCCATTCCCGAGTCAAGGCTTTTGCCTTATTTCAGCCAATGCACACATTTCTCCCCCCAACACAAAGGCACGTGGAAGTAGTCAGATCTGCTCTCAGCCGTAATGATCGCCAAGATCGATGACTCAAGGAGACATCAGCTTGGGAGGAAGACATCTGCTGGAGTCCGAAGCTCTTTGCCAAGTGTCTATGAAGACCTTCGGGCTGGGGAGCCTCTCCTGGCCACTAGAAATGAGCTTTGGGAAGACAGCGGGGCGGGGGGCGGGGGGCTGTCACGCCAAGTGAGGGAGGGGCCAGGCAGCGCGCAAAGAAAGGCGCCATCTCGCCCCAGTGCCCACGTGGTCCAACGGGGCTCTGTCCCCAAGTCCTCCTCACTCAGAAAGATCCCAGCAAGAGTCAGAGTCTGGGAGTCAGCAGCCCCAGACCCCCGGGGAAGAGGAAGGTCTCTGCCCATCCTCCCTGGGAAACTGTTCTTCACTTGGGAACACTGAGTCTTCAGTATCTGCCCCCTCCCCAGAAGCCAAAATGACTCGAGCGTTCGGAGACTGGATCTCCCCCGCATCTCCCCACCTTCCCCCAGCTGCAGGACAGCACTGAGGGGGGGTCTCCCCATCCAAGGCCAGTTCTGACACTCGCTCTGCAGAGCCGGCAGGGCTTGTGGGCCCTGCTGAGTAGATGCTGCCAAATGCTGGCATGCCAGAGGCCACGAGGGGCACCTGAACACACCCCCGAGACCGGCCCTCAAAGTTCCCGGGTCAGAACGGCTCCAGGGAGAGGCTGGGGCTAGCCACGGAGAGGCGGGCTCCGGGGCTCCTGGGCAGCGTCATCTCCCCTTAAATATCCGGATTTTATTGATGGACGCCAAGGTGGCCGTCACGTTGGACTCAAAGTCTCCATCGTGCACTCCGGTCTTGCGAAAAGCCCCCGCCGATGGGTTGTTCTCCCAATAGTGATGCCAGTTCCCCTTACTGTCTGCCCCGAAGCCATACAAGTCCACCTGCGGGGGGGGGGGGGAAAGCACAGGTAAGATCCAGGGGGGCGGGGCCACAGGTAGAACCTCTAAGAAGGGGGCGCCTGCAGGTTAACCCTCGAAGCTGCAAACACCATGTCTGAAAATTCATATAAGCCCTTCTCCCTATGAACCCTTCTAGTTCCTTACTGAACCTCCCAGGGGCTTCGTGCAGCAAAAGCAAGTTATGTGAAAGTCAAGTCGAATGCCAGAAGGCATGATGAGAGGCCCTGAGGGAGGTGGGGCAGGAGAGCCTCCTCTCCAAGGCCTGTGGAGGGGGCAGGAGAGTGGGGTTGAGAGCAGGGCTCCCAGCTCTGCCACCTGCTGGTAGAGCCTGGGACTGCCAAACCCCTGCTCCGAGCCTCACTTCCCTCATCTGGAAAATGGGGCCAAAAGGAACGACCACATCGAGGTAGGTGGTAGGAGCTGATCTTTTTTTTTTCCCCCTGGGGCTAATTTCCACGTGGTCCAGGGGCTCTCAGTGGCTGGTGGCCGGGCTGGGAGGGCTGACACATGACAAGCATTTACCGAGCCCTTATTCTGTGCTGAGCACTGCGCTAAATACATCAGCGTTTGGGCAGACCTTCATTGGGGCCAACTGCGTGGGTGCCGGAGAAACGAGGGACACAGGAGTCAGCTGTCAGACCTCGGAGCCTGTGAATGGCCGTGAGCACCAGTGAGGGACGGGGGCTAACCTCAGGGCTCCCGCACACAGAGGAAGGCAGGGCCAAGGACTCAAGGGATCTGGGAGAGCAGGTGTCATTTGAATTGGGTCTCAGGAGATGAGCTGAAGATGTCCGGGAAGGAATATTCAAGGGCCCCCCCAGGGAGAGGAGCTGCTCTCTGGGCTGCAGCGTGGAGGGCAGATTTGGGGGTGGGGGCCGGAGAGAGCTCTGTGGCAAGTGCAGCTTTGTCTGGAACGCCAGCAGGGCCACAGCCCCCCAACAGGGGGGAAGAGACCAGAGTAGCATTTCTGAGGGAGCCAGCTGGAGATAAGAGGGAGATGCGGCTTCTCGCGGAGACACCGGGTTCTCGGTGGCCCTGCGGGGTGGGCGCCGGGGGATGGTGACAGAACAACTCCTCCGTGGGATTTCACCCAGGAGCCAGGCGGGCTGGCAGGGGTGGGGGGGCAGCTGCGTGTGACCCGAAGGCACATCTGATGGCTCTGCCTGATGCGGGGCCAGGGAGGAAGTGGGGGGGGGTGCCGTGGCCTCTCTTGCTTCTCTGCCCCGGGCTGCAGCGAGCCCCCCACATAACTGATGGAGACGCGGGCACAGCCTGGAGGACGGTCAGGCAAGTCCACGAAGGGGAACACGAAGACCCTTGGCAAGATCACTGGTTCTCCACCTTGGGGAACAGCGGGACCCCCGGGTGCCTGGTTCCCACTTTCTGGTGAACGTGGGCCTGGCGTGGTCTGGGCGCTGGATTTTAGCTCCGGGGACGATTCTATGGAGAGGCCGAGATTGAAACCACAGCTGCCTGCTGCATGGTTATGACCTGCTGCATGGTTATGACCTGCTGCATG